ATACGCGAACTGAATTGTAAATCACTTAAAGTCTCAATAGGTGTACCCTTGATGTTTCTATATTGAAATTTCAAGAAATCAGTTCAACTGCTCGACAGTTTTAATGTTAAATGACTTTGAAAAAGGAATACCTATATGTAAAGCCATTTCTTCTAGTGCCGAATGTAAAAAATTTCAATCGTTTCTACAGCAGATAATGAATGCCTGCGCCATGACCTTCACGTGACCATCAGCACAAACATTGACTTAATTATAAGACATAAGAATGGAAAAGCTTGACACCATGCGCGCGATGCAAGAAATAAATGCTTCTTTACAAAACGGTACCGTATCCTCGATGTTGTGCTTCGACCTGAAAAAATTTCTATTTACAGAACGTTTCTATTTCGAAGCCGTTCAAGCATCTGAGCCACGATTATCATACTAAAACTAAAAGAAAAAAAAAGCATTCGAGTGGCCTATTTCGGTTAGGATATCCCGTATAATAGTATCAAAATCCCTTCAGCCTTTACGGAGATTTCTCCTTCATTCCATATTCTAATCTTTCGGTTTGTTCTCCACACCCTTCTTTCGTTTTTGCATCCGATACAATCTCGATATGAATAAACCAATAGCTGACCCAGAACATTTGTAATTATGCATTAGAAAAAAAAGTGTCATCGGTCAAGGATCATTGGCGTCCCTCGCGAATGCACGGCCAGTTACGCACGGGATAATTTGCGGAGAACATGAAATGGCGGAGGGTGTCGTTAAGGGCGGAAAAGGGAGAAAAGGTGCGGCGCATATAACGCAGAACATAGATGGCTTAGTAATGGGAGCATAGGGGAACCATAATTCCATCGTACGTGCCTATCTATCGAGGGTGCATACGGGCAAGGGGCAGCCCTCGCGGGAAATGCGAGCGTATTAAGAGTCTCGATCTAGGAGGGTTTGATGGATCGGCTGCTTCGAAATGGTTAGCGACTCCGGCGTCGTTTTAAGTTGCAATTCTCGAAAATATATCTTGGAATCTACCTTCATCTATCGTTCTTATATCCGTTGATTTTTATTCCGCCCCGGTAAATGGAAATTCTAACGCAACCGCGAGGAAACGTAAGGATTTCCAATTTATCCCTTTCATGGGAGGAACTTAGATTTCCGTGGAAATAGAAATTTTCGAAACTTTTAACGGAACGTCACATGATTCAGTGTGCATTATGAGGTCTAATTTTCGTAGTTTTTAATTGAACCGGTTAACTGCGTTCGACGAGTTAACACGGCATCTGGAAACGGAAGATAAACGTGTAATTCTTCTTCGTTTTGCTGTAGTTTCTCGTTAGAGTATATTGTAATGTATTCCAACGTATCAAAAGAAAAGTATATTTTGCGAAAAAATATTCTGTTTTATTCGAAATGCATTTATTCCTCGCTGATACAGCAATTTTCAGAGTCAACGTTGCCTCTAAGTATTTTTGTGGAATACCTTCTAACATACTTATTTTTATAGACGTAGAATGTTGTCATAACGTTTATTTCCCACGGGGATTTTCATCTGTGGAAAGAAAAGGCAATAACATAACTGTAAATGCAACAAAGAATTCTAAATACCAAAAAAGTGGATACGGCCGCTGCGTGGTAAGCCAGGGTATTATCGTGCAACAAAGCTCGATTGCTTATTTCTGTTCTTATAAAGTGATCTCATTTGAAATGTTACGACGAAACTTATTTCTACTAATTTTCAGCTAATAAATCAAGTATCATGAAATTTTGGAATGGAGATTTCTTAATTTAAAAATAACAATTAATTGAGAAGAATAAAGATATTCATTGTAATGTAAAACATAAAACGTTCAATTTACTTTTATTTGCGACGAAGAAACAGGGAAAATAATGCATTATTCATTAAAATATTTTTTAAATGAACTATTTATTTTGAACATTGTTCAGATCATGGATTTATGTGTTTCTGAACGGTATATCAATCTTATCATACAATTTTCAGCGGAAGAAGTCTATTTAAAACAAAAAGGAAAAATTTTTCTTTTATAAATAATTTCCGAGGTAGTGACGTAAGAGGTTTTCTATTTTCAATTTTAGGAATGGCATTTATTACTTAAACGCAAATATCGGGTGGCAGAGAAAGCACCTACACAACTAATATTTTTACTCATTACTATGCTTTGTCTCTATGCAAAAATTGTATAAACACCTGCAATTGACGCTTCAGTATAGTCTTTTGTACGTGCATATTTTGGTTAAAAAAATGTTTTGATTAGTGAACACGTTGAACACTGCAGGATTTCACATAGCAAAATACAGGCAATGAAAAATTATTTAATGAAGCTATTTTATAAAATTATTTAATTGAGTTGCGTTATTATTATTAGACGTTTATCTTGCTGAATATCACCGCATTAAATAGCATTACTTATAATATACAAAAAGTTTTCAAATAATCATTCTGTAACTCAGTGAACTATAGTAATTCGATTTGGTTGAAGGTCATTGGCAACCCCCATAGCATTAACCTGTTACACGTACGCGTCGGCGAACTGTTAATATAATTCTTATTTATGAAAAGGCAATAGGTATGTATAAATTATTCAGTTTATTTATATATAAAATTTTGATGAAATTTAAATGTCGTTCATCACGAAAAAACCAATATGCTTAATTGTCACAAAAGTGTTATTATCGATTGCTTGAAAATGAATTTTCAAACAAGCATCTCTTCTTCTAAATATCAATTTATTTTTTCGTTTAGACTCATCTTTTTTTAAAGCTTTCATTTAGAACTTGCACAAGTTCATTGACACTTTTATATATATAACGAACCGTGTTAATAACAACGAGATGTTCTGATATAAATTTATACTTAATTAGTTTACTTGAAACGAAACCGCTATAGATTGAGCTCGATAGTATATGAACATCCGATTCAATCGGTAACTCTCTGCTTAATTAAAATGCTCTCATCTGCACTGTTTTAATTCGTACAATGGATATAGTAATCGACGTCTATCACGCTTAAATTACATGCGATAACTTTTAATAGGACATTTTGCACTCCGTTTTACTATAAATTACTTTCGTACAGATCGAAATTGCGTGTATAGCAATTTATGAAACGTTTAATCAGCTTTCGGAAATTCTTTAGTTCAATTGCCTACTGGGAATTAATAAACACAATCTGTGAAAGTACCGAATTGAATTACGTAACCCGTATTTTTATATCATATGTACTTCAACCAATTTTCAGTTCGATTTCATTTCAGTAGTTTTCAAAATACACAAACACATTTTCTATTACTTTTAAATTGTAGAATGTATCATAAAAATTAATGTAGCGAATGACGAATGAAACGAATGATTCGTAGTGATTGTTGAATCGACGCATTGTACAGATAATATCACCTTGTTACTGCAAACATATTTCATACGTGGTATTCACTTTGCGTGACTGAATTAGCCTCCGCTCACCGAAGCTGGGTCATTTTCACCCTACTGTTGCGACAGTGAACTATCCTGGATTCGTGAGTTGGTGATGGTAACAAACACGTTACGTGATGTTAAATCTGTCAAACACTCGTAAAATGGACACGGCAAACGAAACTTAATACATGCGTAAGCTTTTCTGACACAGCGGATCGAATGTAATGCATGTCTGTATTTTCATCCATACGTTTCTATTATGATCAATTATTTTAGAAAATATTTTCTACAAATAATTACATACAGAACTAACTAATGCACACTCGCGCATGCGATAAGAAAAGTCTTCAACGAAGTGTCCTTTTTTTAATATTATTTTAAAGACCCTCTACAGCTTGTGAAATATTATTAACCTATTAATTGTGGAATTTAGTTTAAAAAATCTTTCGTTTTGCGCACAGTAAAATCAGAAAATGAAATGCGTAATTGTCAAACGCAGGACGAATGCAACTAGGATATTCATATTTGGAAGACCAATTCGCGAACAAATGATTTAATTAGCCGAACAGCAAGAGATCAGACCGTAGTTTCCTCTTCTTCTATTAATTAAGCAATTGATATGTAATTTAGCTTTATATATTGAAGGTTTTGCATGTTTCCAAGAATTTTCGCCCGCAAAGGGTTAATGAAAAACCAGAGCAAAACAGAAGAATTACATGTTTATCTGAAGAATTTTTTACAATTTTATTTTTTAAGAAAACTTTGCATTTTTTAAGGGGTAGTTTCATCCCTTCGAAGTGAAATTCGGCACGAAAGAAAAATTACAATGTATTAAGCTTGACTTATTCTACTTACACACAAAGTTTTATAATTTTTTGAATTTCTGGGTTTGACACCTTTCCTTGTTAGAGATGTTATACCGTGCGTTTAGAGAAGTTTCACTAACAGTTCTTATATTTTTCCCACTATTTATTGAATATATCATACCATGTTTACGTTAGATTGTTATCTCCCTCTCAACCTTGCTCGAAATTTTACATAAATGTATCAGATTAACCGCCGAACGCCAATAACACGTCTATCACTATCGAGTAGGGCGCCACGGGCACCATAAGTGCATGTCTTCGCCAAAAGTTGGAGTACCAATAAATTAACTCCTAGGACCCCAATTCCTATGCTAATTTATCGACAGCTGAAAGTACCATTTATCCATAGTGTTTTTAAAATAGCCTATTCGTTGCCTACACAATAAATTACTCTTATCAAATGTCGAGAAAAATGTATCTTTACATGCGTTACAGAAGAGTGAGTAAATCAATTAAATAAAGTTACTCTTGTTATATGATCTCTTTCATAACTATCCTGGAAATAACTACTTGTTGCCAATAATCAATGAAAAAAGGAATCTTAATCTGAGCTTTAAAAGTTTGATAGTGTATATATCTGTTAAATCTTCTTCGAAATCTTCGCTACGAATTTGATATGATATTGTACGGGGTTAAAGTGAATATAATTTGAAATAAAATCGATCCCGGAAAATTAATGTAATCTTCATAAAGAAATAATCATTATATTTCTTTTATTTTCAGATCCAAATTTCAAGAGACCCATCGCCAATGTGACAACGGCAGTCGGAAGGGAAGCAACTCTAGCCTGCGTTGTTCAAGATTTAGCAGGGTACAGGGTACGTGAAACGATCTGATTGATTTTGTGATTATTCGCCATGGTCTACTCTATTTATTTCGCATAGTTTAACAAGAAAATAATAATAATGGCATTGCAGAAAAGAAACGTGAATTTTCGTTTCGCTCGCATAAAAGAAAGTATCGCGTAAATGGGGGACGATTGTAGTAAAAAATTCACCATATTAAAAATAACAATATGGTATCGATAGAAGAGTCGATAACTAAAGTAGATGAGAACGCCGTATATTTTTTTCTTCGTAAATTTGAAGTCGGTATTGGAAATATCTTCCTTCATTTTGTTAAATCCGGTATAAATCCGATCGGAAGCACATTCCTGGAGCATGATAAGGAGCGATCGAGTTTGAAGCACACATGGAAATCAACGGGAACTGCGGTTCCGCCGAGGTGAATGCTCCGGCCATTTAGGTTAATGATGAAGTCGAGCCATCATTGGTAAAGATATTCAAAGATATGCAATTTATAGATCTCCGTAAATCCGGATTGGGAGGATCAGCCGATCGGAGTTAGGAAGATCGACGCGCCAGCGTTCTCAAGAGGGCAAACACTTGAACCTTATCGGATTCCATTGAGACCGCACTCTTACTCTTCGTATCTCATTTCCTAATTAGCGGCTTCGGGGGAAACAGTGCCACGAACAATTATCGTTAAGGGCTAAGGAAGTTTGCCAGTTTCGGAGCGCTCTTTTTATAGTAATTTCTGAAATTCTTTTAGAGAAATTTCATGTGGACTTATACGTTTGAATCTTTTATATAGGTGAAATGAATTTCTAGTATTTTTGAAAGGACGTGCTATCTGTGATCGTTTGTTTTTACTCCTATGAAATTTCTCTCGGTCGAGATTATATTGATCATCTATCATCTTATGACTTTTCAGTTCATTAAAAATGAATAAAGGTTCCTTTTCTTAAGTATTCAAGCGATTCAAGATTAAGACTGAGATGATATTCTGAAAAAAGGATTTGTTAAAATTATAACCAATTAAAAATGAAGACGTAAGTTTAATTCATTTTTCATTCCAATTTGTTAGAGAGAATAGAAGGTTCGGAGGAATAAGGGTAATTCCAGCTTTAATTGTAGTAATAAGTATGTTAAATAAATGTTTAAAATAGCAGAAATAAGTATCGAGCGAAACACTACACTTCTATGCTTCGCAAACTAGTTTTAAACGCACAGGCATCTATATTAGTCATTTTAATCTACTGTTCAATTACATGTTCCTCTTCCTAAAAATATCAAAGCAACAACAATGTTTTTTGATTATAAAAATTCCTTCACCTATTGTTAGTTTCTCCATCACCATAGAAAACTAGTATCAGTTTCTATCCTCTCTCCATTACACTTGAAATTTCATTTCACACTTTTCCACTTCCAAAGTTTTGAAATCCTTGCTACAGCTTCATGCAAACACTCAATTTTCCATACAAGAAATGATACCACACTAACTCCATACAAAATTCAGTTAAATAAAATCGAATCGATTACGCGAGAAATTTCCGAAATATAAGTCCAAATCCTAGAATACAGATGACACAAATTATTAATAGTATTATTATTTATCACACTACTACAGTATCAAAACAGAAGAAACTGGTTTACAACAATTAATCCGCTAGCGACGTTGAATCCTCCAAATCCACATAACATTCACAATTTTACAAGTAATGTAAAATCCCTTTGAGGATATATTCTTAACAAAACGGTGACCGAAAAAACGTAAAAAATGAAATCGATCCTTTCGACTCTTTACACCGGAAAACTTCGTTGAAGCTACTCCGGCTGATTCATTAGAACAGAATTATATATATGCGTGTAAGTATATATATACGATAAAATTGACCGGTCCACTTCAGACAAATGTACGTCTCTTCTGCTTTCGTGTAATTTTGCTAATTAATTAACTAACTGATTCGGTCATGAACGCGGGAGACCCTTGAAACTCGAGATAGTCGGATATAAGAAAGAGAAAAGCGTAGGTTGGTCGGCGGCGTGGGCGGACGCGAGAGGGCGGTGGCAGAAAGGGGATGGAACAGAGAGAAATTCACTTAACTTTTTCGTGAACGGTTAACGAGGTCAACGGGTTAAACAACCTTACTGGATGTCTATGCTCTAGATTTCTTTTTGCCGCCAAGTGCCTCCAGTAATATCTATCCGCGTCGAGAAAGCTTCAGTTACGTTTTAAAATATCAGCGGCCGGGTATTAAGTAATGGACTTCAATTAAACCGAGATAAAATGTCAAGAAAACCGTGGAAATCTGTCAAAGGGTCATCTCCTCTACCCGTTATTCGTCTTCGGACAATAAGATTCTTTTACCCGAGGACACCGGGGCTGACGGGAAAAATTACTCCCCGTAAGCTGTTCTCATTATAAATTGACAGCGTTCTTTAGTGTAAAACGTTAATTGCCTTTATTCGAAAACAGACGGGATCCCTTTCGAGGGGGACCGGCGACGAAAGATTACGGAAGCTCGACTTCCTCGGAAGACGTTAAACAGAACAATGAAAATATTCTAACGGAGGAATTGAATAAATCTGCGCGAAATTCTTCTGGCAGAGATGTTAACGCAATTCGCTTTCGCAACTTTTTAATGGCCTGTATTTCTAAGAAGCTTTGTTCACAGATTTTGTTAGTATGTAAATTATCCCTCTTGTGGAAATATATGAATTGCAAACATTTTGAATTTAACTTTTGAAAAGGCTGTTGGAAACATTTTTCAGTTCGTTGTCGGTCGGAGTTATGGCCGCATGAATGCACATTTTCTTTGACACGGTATAATAATTTTATATGTATATAAAATATGTATATATAACCAACATTATTATTAGAAATAGCTTGGTTTTATGGCTTATAATCATAAAATCTGTGATGTTTCATTTCAATACATATATATTTTGTACAATGTTCTGTGAAATTACTTTCCGTAAATTCAGTCTTTTATTATAACAGACGTACCTTTTGCGCCAGATGCTTTGAGGCTTACTAATATGATCCCCAGCTGTTTCAGCTAATTTCACACATTTTACGAAATCTCCATCCTCTCATTTTTCATTTATACGTAAGACCGTTCAAATTGGCGGTACTAAATGAATTATGAGAATCTATAAGACTGAAAACGTACCACACCGGGAAGAGCATTATACATTTATGAAAATGAAATTTAGAGGTATTAAATTAATGCAATATGAAAGCAATCACATGAATTTATTATCCCAGAACTTTTTCAAACACGCGAGCCAGCTCTATTGAATGCGAAAGACTTTTTGGTCATTCCGCACATTCTGAATATTCTGAAATTATTCACGAAACGCGAAAGTATACGGAATGAAGAATCCTATGTACATTGTACCCAATATAATTGAAATCAGCCATGTATTTAATATAAAATAATGTTAAACGTGTCTATTAACTGTACAAGTTTAAAAATAGAAATGATTAATTCAATGAAACAAAAATTTGGATTTTACTCGAAAACTTTCTGTTCGATTCGACCGTGTCTTGAGAATTTGTAGCATTTGTCAAGTATCCGGTATTTGTCACTCTCACGGTTAGTTTTAAGAAGTTCATTTATTCAAGAACGCTTCAAATATTAAACTTCCCCGGCTGACAGGAACCAAATGTGAAAAGATAATTCATGGGAATGTAAAGAAGTAAGTTCTTTCCCCGTGCCCTTTACCTACACCATAAATTGTCCTGACATTCCCTTCCTGAAAGGCAAAAACATAAAAGATCATGCAATAGACCGATTCCTATAGTTCCACAAATCAAAGCGAACAGCTTATTCCCTCCTTCTTTTAATGTATTCGGAGTACGTATAAGTGCTTCTGAATTTTGCATCGTGTACCTTCGCTAATCCCTTGCCTTATAACATGCTAGACTCGCGATGAAGATTTTCAAAAATTCAACGGACAAATATTACTCAGTTCATTCGAATTCAAACTAAATATTACTCTACTGTGATCGATAATTATACTTAAAGAGAAACATAGGTATATGCCTAAAATTTTTCTCTTTTTATAATAAATTAAGAATGATCCAAGTAGTCGTATTGATTAGAGTTGACAAAGAAGTCATAGAGCAAGGGGTTAATTATCCTATAATATCGTGTCAGACTCGTGATGATCTGAATTCGACAAATCTAAACATTATTTACTTTTTGTGAATATATAAAAATGTTCCTTCTATTCAATCATTATCAATCATTAACCCTTAGAGTAAACGCGAACACAGAATAAGTATACAATTATTTTCTTTTTGTTATAAATTATTAGCGATCAAATAATTTTTTCAAATACAGTTCTGAAAGGAATCATAGCACTAGAGGTAAATAAGAATATAGATTTCTTCATTAAAGAAATTTTTATAACTTTTTGATAATTTGCGAGATTTGAAATTCCACGATGCCAAAATGATTTACTTTGTGTGACAACAAAGTCATCTATATATACCGAAATTCCTTTCTTGTTTAAAGAATTGTTTTCAAAATGGTTATCCCTTTATATTGTTTGCGCTGAAAATTTCTTTGCGTAATCATGATATTTTTACAGAAAATATTCATTTTAGAAATTGAAGGAGCCTTAAGAATTCAGTATGTAAATATTGTCCTGAGTAAATAAAATAGCATAAACGTTTATCCGCGAAAAATCAACATTATTTACATTTTAACGTTGCATGGCGCGATTGTCATATAAAAACAACATGGAAAAAACTACAAAATAGATGTGTTACGTATGAATGTGAGCTTAACATTTATGTATGGAAGTCTGAGAATTACTAATTAATGTTAAATATTCTCCTTCGTAGCAACTGACAAAACAAATTACTGCATTTATTTGTTTTTACTTATTTAAATATATTTATACAGCAACACGATCAACTATATAACGAAAATTTCGCTGGTTCCAAAATTCACGAGGTTTTATACAGATGTCTGTGAGACCTCCATATTTAATGCTAGAACTACCGAGCATTTGACACGATTGAA